TTATTCGTGAAATTTCCTACGTACTCCACTCAATTCGAGTGTCGGAGGCTGCCATCTCGTCGTCAAACGGCACATCGTGTGGGATTCCTCGTACTCACAACATCACCGTAGATGGAACCAGATTCACTTTCGCCCCAGAGCAGATTAACCTATTCTTGATGTTCGGATGCAACTTGAGGTCGCTGCCAAGTGATTTCATGAAGTACAGAGTTGGGTGTTCTCCAGAAAACGAGACGATGTCTGTTTTGGCAATGACAGAGGCAGGTGAAGATTTGAGATCTGCGTCTGAGAAATGTAACGGCGGGGTGGTGAAAACGAAAGTGGAAAATAATACTAAAGTTAATGGAGACGTCGTGAGAAGAGGGTTTGTGTTGAAGTGGACAGTGGCTCTCTGCAGTTTATGTCAGGAGAGCGGAGGGAAGTGTGGCTTCGACTTCAGCAAAAGTGTTTATAGTTTCAGATGCTATTGCCCAGATAGAGATCATGCTGTGAGATGTGATCCCGGAGCCGGTTAGTCGTTTCCTATTTCATGCCTCTTGATAGATGATAAGTTTTTTACAGTTCATATCCAATGATGATTTTTTCTTTTATTCCTCCATCTGCCCTAAATATAAAACTTTATTTATAATGAAATTTTGTATTTAGAATCAAATCATTGACGACGAAGCCTTCGTTTTACTATTAATTACTACTTTTGAACTTTAAGCTGCCATTTATTTCTTATAAAAAGACTTGAAGCTAGGAAGTAGTATTTGATTAAATTCTTCGTCTAGAAAATAATGAACCACATATGATTTTTTTGGTAGAAAACCTCATGTGATTTAAGCTGTCATTCGCCTTCTCCTTCTCCCTTTCCACTTTCCTTCAAAGAGGTCAACAAACTCTTCAAAAGAGGACACTAACCAAGGAGATAGCTTTATTTTAGTTTTCAAATGCTTGTACTCAAGTTCTATGATGCTCTTACACACATCTGTATGATATTTTATTGAAAGGAAAATTAATCTTGTGTTCCTTATAATTTTGACACATTTATAACTCAGTTCTTATATTTTGAATCGGTATAACTCAATTCTTATATTTTGACTTGATTGTAACTCAGTCTTTGAAGTTTAACTCGTTATCCATTTTATAATTTAGTCCTTGTATTTTTGAAAAATGAAATTATATAGAAGGGCTACACTATAAAATGGTTAAAAGTATACAGATCGAGTTGCAGCGAGTCAAATTTCAACGAATGAGCTACAATTGAGTCAAAACTATAGGGATTGAGTTGCGCCAAGTTAAAATATAAGGATTGAATTACAAATGAGTAAAAACTATAGAGACCAAGAGATTAATTTTCAGTTTATTGAATAATTTGGTAACAAACAATAAAAAAGAAGGGGAAATAAAAAGTTGCACAGTTTTATCTTAAAACCAACTGAGAATGTTTAGAATTCTTGAAAAGTGTATTATCAAGAAAAGAAAGCCAAATCGTCATAGTGACAGAGTTACATGATTGAGTTTATCACTTTTAGACAAGTGCTATGTCTAACTTAATTTCTCTTTGCTCATCCTAATTGCAGGCCGGAAAACAAACCTTATCATAGGTAATGAACCAAACTTCTTTTTGTTTCATATTGTTTCCTTATAATATTTACATATCTTTTGCACACTATCGGTTTTGATGCTGCTTCACCTGCGTGCTCCTCCCTGTATTTATATCCAAGCTAGAATAAGAGGAATCGTTTTGGTTCATATCAGAATGGATCTTAGTTGAAGCTTGTAAACGTACATATATAACTGAATAGCATCACCTATATATTCATTAGCATACATATAGATTAAAATATAGCCTGACAATAAAATCCGTTATTATAACACTATTTTTTCTCGTTTATTTCACAAGACTTAGCTTTAAAGCATCCCCTAACCATATTTTATCCTAGAAAATGAAGAATCTTTCATATTTTCTACTCAATAACTTGCATACTATATGTGACAGGTATAACGATTGCAGCCGTTGGAGCATTGCTAATACCTGTTATCTGTTTTTATTGTAAAATCAAGAAAACAGAGTTTTGGAAGACATCAAGGATTAACCAAAATATTGAAGTCTTCATTAAAAACCATGGACCATTGGCTCTAACAAGATATAAGTACGCAGAAGTCAAGAAAATGACCAATTCTTTTGAAGTAAAATTGGGACAAGGCGGTTATGGTGCAGTATACAAAGGAAAATTACTAGATGAACAGCTTGTTGCTGTAAAGTTATTGAAGTTATCCAAAGGGAATGGAGAATAATTCATTAATGAGGTTGCTAGCATCAGTAGAACTTCCCATGTCAATGTTGTTGCACTCCTTGGGTTTTGTTTGGAAGGCCATAAAAAGGCTCTCATATATGAGTTTATGTCCAATGGGTCTCTTGACAAGTTCATTCACAACAAGACAGATGAAGCTGATCCATCATTGACTTGGGAAAATTTGTACGAAATTGCAATTGGTACAGCCCGAGGTCTAGAATACTTGCATAAAGGATGTAACACTCGAATTCTACATTTTGACATAAAGCCTCATAATATCCTTTTGGATGAAAATTTTTGTCCCAAGATCTCAGATTTTGGACTCGCTAAGCTCTGTCCAAGGAAAGAAAGCATCATTTCAATTTCGGAAGCAAGAGGGACTGTAGGATATCTTGCTCCAGAAGTTTGGAATAGAAATATTGGTGGGGTTTCACATAAGTCAGACGTCTACAGTTATGGAATGATGCTATTGGACATGGTTGGAGGGCGAAAGAACATCAATGCTGACATTAACTGCACAACCGAGAACTATTTTCCAGATTGGATATATGATAAACTTGAGCAAGGCAGCAATTCGGGAAGTGATAGAGCGAACAACATGGAGGAAAATGATCTTGCAAAAAGAATGACCATTGTAGGTCTGTGGTGCATTCAGACATTTCCAACTCAAAGACCAACAATTAGGAGAGTGATTGAAATGTTAGAAGGAAGTTTAGATTCACTAGAAATGCCTCCAAAACCTGTCATATCTTCGCCTCCAAGAGTAGAATTAGAGTCCTCCTCCACTACCAATACCACCGCATAGATTATGGATTCTGAAAGGTCTTCCCGGATGCTGAAGAGAACAAGTGTTGGAGGGGCTGCGCAAGTATGGCATATGACCAAGAAAAAGATTGAAGCCGAAGCCCCTAAAACAAGTGGCTCTTCTGTGCTCTGCGTTCGGATATTTGTTTTCCACTTTGTTATTTCTTGATTCCGCACAATGACAATGTAGTGAATGGGCTTGTTATATTTACGTGTGTCATCAAATTATAAATCAATTTATAAGAGTAACAAATTAGTTTAAAGAAAAATAATAAATATAAATACTTTAAGGTAATTTATTAATTTACTTAATCTTCAAAATAAATCAACCAAATCTTATACGGAATTACTACTACCTCCGGTCCTAATTGTAAGAGCCAGTTGACTAATTTGAGGAGATTAAGGAAGTAAGTTGAGTTAGTTATTTGTCCTAAATAGGTGTTGTCTTTACTAAAATATTCTTGCTAATCAAGTGTATTACCTAGAACTATAATTATTAGAATGATTATCTTAGAAAAAATTAAATAAATATAAGAGACAAAGTGGATTGGGGTCTTATATTTAGGATCAAAATAAAAGTCAAACGGAATCTTATATTAAGGACCGGAGGTAGTATTATAAACCAAAGCAATAAATTATGAATAAATATTTCTGTCAATTCAATAGCGAATTCAATTTCACTCAAACAACAAATAACGAATTCAATGCTCTTTTTACCAACTGAGAGAAGCTAAGAGGCAGAAGAAACCACAATGTCCATGTACAGTTGTATATATGGACACACATTCCCGACATTTTTGTTATTTAATAATAATTCCAATAGACTCAGGGATTTTTTTTTATGGTGTTCGATTTATTTTGTCCTTTCAAACAAACAAAAAAAAACAGAGCGCACACAATTCATAATTATACGATGCACAGCCCTCATTTAAGCCATGCTGATTAATTTAATTTCGTGCCTTTTTACTCCCCCTAAAAATTGCAAGGTTGATTATAAATATTTATTTATAATAAAAGAAATAAATATTTGAATCTGAAGAAAAAAATGTATAGTAAAAAGGTAATGATTATCAATATCCCGTCAATTTCCTTCAAAATGTCTATATTTATTTTATATTTTGTAATTTATTTATTATACATGCATGCATATTTTTTCTTACTTATTTGTTCGTTTTCTTCTTTTTCCTATAATTACTTGATGTAAATATATTCAAATTGTACTCTATATGTATATGGATTAAAATAAAAAAAAACTAAAGAATGTATTTTGTGGGCCACAATGAGGTAAATTTACAAATTAAAGAGACAAATTATATTTTCTTTTCCCCTCTTCACATTATAGACTTTTCTTATCCCCAAATAGTTATCACATTTTTAAATACAGTACATATTATATTTAGATAAAAAAATAATAAAAGATACATTGAAAGTTGTCAAACTGAGGGAAACGGCTAGGTGTCAAATTTCATATGTTATACTGAAGATCAGTAACCTTTCAAATTTTCAAAACAATTACAAAGTTCAAAGCAGTTTGCTATTGATATATTTTAACTTTTAAGAAACTTTACAACATGCATGCTATAGCTAGTCCGACCAATTAACATTGCATGCTCGGAAGTCGAAAGCATGCAAAATGCTCAGAAATAATCGTTAAAGGCTCCGAAAAGAAGAAAGCAATGGGCGAAAATTAAGGCTCTTTTAAATGTGAAACGCTCCTTTTTGGCCAAACACGTGAAACGCTGTTTAAAAGAAATTGTAACTACTATCATACAACAGTTGCAATTCAGCACTAATCGAAACCCAAATTAATAATTCATTCCCAAAAAAAAAAAAAAAATCACAACACGCACAAACACACCTGATGATTCAAGGGAAAACAAAGAAAGTATATGAGTAGGAATACTAGATTAATTCTCAAAGACTATTGTTAGGAAGAGATGGAAGCAACTCAGATTCATGGGGGTTGGGATTATTTTGCTTCTTTTTCTGGAGCTGTTTATTATACTCTCCATAAAAGTAGGACACAAAGCCCCAAAGAGAGAGTACCAAACTAACTCCTTTCTCTGCCGTGAACTTCTCTCTGAAGAAAATCACGGCCAACACTTGAGTTACCGGCAGCAACACCGCAATCAGAATTCCTAACAGAAACGAAGAGGCACAAAAGATAACCCCTGCGGATCCCAGAAAGAATATCTGCCATGTGATCGCAGTGCACACCGCCACAACGTAGTACTTTGTCTCCCCCACCCCAAATTCTCTCGCTTCCCTTCCCATCACCTGCAAAATTATAATCAACACTTACTTTCTTAATATATATATATATATATATAGTTTGATCTTTAGAATGGAGAGATGACCTTGAAGTCGTTGTTGACGAGCATGCCGACGGTACAGAACAGAGTAGCAGTGAAGCTTATGACGAGCTGAACCTGGACGACCAGCGAGTAGGTCACAGGCTGCTTGCTCTTGCCGTACATGAGCTCCAATAATGGCATCAAAAAACTGTACAAGGCCGCCGCCGCTAGTGTCATCACGAATCCCAATACATATTGTTTGGGTGACACGCCAGCAGGACGATCTCCAGATGAATGAAGAGCCAAGACGCCGGCTCCGACGGTGAGCAAGACGATGGCGTTTATGGAGAAAGGGGTGAACTTTTGCCTGACAAGAAGGAAGGCGAAGACGGCTGTGAATGCCAGCTGGGTGGAGACGATGAGAGAGGAAGTGGAGGCCGGCAGGCGAGCTAAGCCGTAAGCGTAGAGGTAATCATCGACGCCCATGAATACACCGATGACGGCTGATGAAAGAAACAAGCGGGAGTCGAGGGAGAAGAAGGGCTTGCGGGTGCGGACGTAAGAGATAATTTGAGGAAGCAAGAGGACGGGGAAGCCGGCGGTTTGGAGCCAGCTGTAGAGCCAGACGCGGTGGCCGCCGTGGACGAAGTAGAGGCGAGTTATGAGAGGGCCGCCAGTGAGGCCTATGCAGACTAAGAGGCAGTTTATTAGCAAAAGGACTCTTTTGCTTCCCTTTTGTTTATCTGAGTCTTCTTGCATATTCTTGCCTGTTTCCATGACACACAATACAGGCTAATTGAAACTAATGACCATTGATTCAGCTCTTCGGTTAGCTCAATGATTCATATGCGCCCGCGCGCACGCATATATAAGCGGAATTTGGAAGCCATTTTCTAAAGTTCCTAAAACGACGCCGTCTCATAACCTGGTTATGCTCCTCCTAATTTACATGTTTTATTATAGGGTCTTAAAAAGTAGCCGAGGTCATAATACAATAGAATTTCTTAATTCTTAATCCGTGGTTAATATGTGAATTTACTGCGTCAAAAAAAGTGTGAATTTAGCATCTCCATCTTAGACATCATTTCCTCATCCAAAATGTTTTTTTTTTTAGAATATATAAGTATTCTCTTATTAGAGATAATCCTGATCGAGACCCTGTTAAACACTAAATGTGAATAATTTCTTCAGTAAAAATTTAAATTTTAATTCATCATATTGTGAAGCACTAGTTTCACACTTTCACTGGTACTTACCCATTGCTTCCTCATCCAAGTTACCTTTCCGGATACACATGGTAGTCCACTTAGATCCAAGCCCGGCAAACTTGAAGTTCCCTAGGCCATGTTTGTTGGGCTCACAAATTGATTCATCGAACCCGTTATATTGGTCTCGGGGCTCCTTCGTCAGGGTCCAACGCGTTTTCTTTTTCTTTTTCTATTTTTGAAGTAATAAGGTCAAATTCTGGGGCCTAGGCTAGAAAATGAGAATAATAAGAAAAAGCAGAACAAAGAGAAGTATGATATGGTAAGCCCATAATGAAAATAGAAATGGAAATAAGCTCACAAGAAGTTAATTTCTCACAACATGGTAAACCCCAAGTTTAAATCCTTAATGGAAGAGGTGTTTATATTTAGTGACTGAAATTATTTCAAACAGAATTGCTTCTAATAAGATAATACCTACGCCTTAGTTAAAAAAATAAAAATAAAAATAAACGTTTGCATGTTTGTATTATAGTATCCAACTCTCTGTTTATGGGTCTTATTATTATATTCCTTGTAATGATAATAATAATTATTTTAGGAAAAATTCATAGGTTCCAAAGTAAGAAAATTAAATACATATAGGCATGCTAAATTTCATTTAATACTAATAGATAGTAAGAAATTTAATATTTATAATTTTAATTAACTTGTAAATAATGCAAATCAACCTATAAATATGAACATTTAACTTATAAACATTAAATTTTGAAACTTGATTTGACAATGACTTATAAACATTAAATCCGCTGCGACCGATTAGTATTAAACAAAATTTGAAAAACCGTCATTCCTTCTTTATTCTTTTCTACTTGGCATAACTCTAGCGTTGGATATTTGTACAGCAACATATAATTTGCCCCAAGTTCTCGAGCTTTGGGCTTATTAAACTTTCAGAAACCGAGATCACTCCCATTAGCCACAGAGACTATAAGATTTTTTTTTCCTACTAAAAATGTTTTTTGGAATAGAAATATAGAAGTTTCGCATGAACGAGACGTTTGTAAAATGATGTCAGGCACGGTTGAAGCCTAGAGGAATATGACTACCGAATCCAAGCGTATAACTAGTCAGATTTATTTTTTCAAACTGAATTTATGATGACGACATATAAATTAAAACAAGGCAACGTTTTGGTGCTTAATGGGGAAAATTAAGCACATGGAGGAAATTGATATTTCAAAGAGAAGGACCAATGTGGGTTTTGTGGTATATTCAAACATTCTTATCTCATATGAGGTAATGAGGATATTTGATAAGCCTATTAGGCCTTGTTTGGTATAGGAAAATGGCATGGAAAAAAATAAGGAAAACAAAAAAAGTCAAAAAGCGCTGCGCTCCTTGGTTTGGCTCAATTGATAAAGGGCAGCAAAAGCACTACTACTAAAAAAAAAAAAACTACATCTGGTCCTTAGTATAAAAGTTAGATAACAAATTTTAAAATATTAAAAAAATTAATTAAGTTAGTTATTTTTTACTAATGTATATTAACCTCCATAAACTATCTTCTTTAACTCTGTATATTAGGTCATTTGAATTATCTCATAGTAAAAACTTCTTAGAATGAATAGGAATATTTAAAATGGATTACGATTTTATATTTAGGACCAAATTCAACCCAACTAGCTTTATTAAGTATGGGAGGTAGTATTAATGACCCCAACTTATCATTTACTCCGTAGCCCACTCATTTAATCAAAGCCATCCCAACTGCTTCACTACTTCTTCATCTTGCAATGATATTGTGCTTACTATTTCAAGAGGGCCTTTTCATCCGCTAAGACATTTGTTATCATTGCTACGTATATATATTGTGCATACTTTTTCTTACCCACCCTATTCCATTGAAAATCTCTAGTCTTTTCATTTGAATTATTCTTCGAATGATTGATATCTACATATACCTAACCCAAGGCATCATTTCTTTTCTTAAGTCCCTCAATCGGGGGTTTCAATATGTGGTACTGGTTATTACGTGACATGTGCAGATATTTTGTTTTTTGTTTTTTTAATTGTCCCCCATAATTTTAGCATTTATAACATATCCTTTGAAAAATATAGAAGATTCATTAGCTTTATTGTTAACGAACGATATCAAGCGGAACAAAATTATCAATTTGTTTCATATTTTCTTATAATTAGTCGACAATATAAGTTATGATGCTTTGACATAACTATATGTAAGTAAACATTGTTACCCAGAGACCTATTAGCAGTTACATACATGCGTACCTACGCGTATGTTTACGTATATCATTATTTGTTACGAGTCTGAAGCACGTTAGTGTGAATATAGATATTTGTGCCGTTCGTCTTCTTGGTCATAAAGCCGAGTGCCGTATCGATCAAGGCCTTGGACTTGTGTTACGTATTTGAACAATCACAGAGAAAAAAACCTTCAAGCAAGTCATTACTCGAAAATTAATTTGTGCTCCATGAGTGAGGATTTCAGAAGAATGGTTCCACCCTTTTTTGTTTTGATCATCATCTTCTTCTTGTTTTCTGATCAAGAGCTTTCCTTGTGTTCTGCTTCTGATCAGGAGGACTGCCCATCTACCTTTGACTGTGGAAGCCTCGGCAAGCTCGGCTTCCCTCTCACCACTAGGACACGCCTGGACTGTGGAATGTTGGCTATTCACGGTTGTGAAAACCCTAATCCCAACGCAACTAAAACTGTGCAATTCAACGGAGGAAAAGAGCTTCTAGTGACAGGTACAGACTACTCGATGATGGAAGTTTATCTTAGAGATGCAGATTTGCAAAAGAGTTTGGCAAATCGGAGCTGTGAAGTCTTCAACGCCAATATTTCTCTTCCTTCGCATAACTCAGCCTTGGGTTATTTTGTGTTGGATAATACTACTCCACTTATAACGCTGTATAAATGCAATCGTACGCTCAACAACATTAACTCTTCAACGGGATTTTTCAGCTATACAGGCTGTGTTGAGAGTAAAGGTGAGACGATCTACTTTGGAAATATGAATCTAGATGAACAAGACGCTCCAGCTTCTTTAGCAGCATGTCCAAGGACTAAGCTTCCGGCGAGTGACGATACTTTTGCGGCTGGAAGCCCGTTTGAATCCCTGGATTCTGCATATTCCATTCAAGCTCGACTTTCTAATGACTGTTCTCGATGTGTTTCTGATCGAGGCTTCTGCAGACTCGACGCCAAAGCACAGTTTTATTGTTCCAAATCCAAAGGTATATGCATTATATAATACTATGATCTATAAATATATGGAAATTTGTCAGGGATGACGAGTTTATTACTTCTTCCAATCCTAAACTAATAATTCATGAGGATAAAGTAGTTTTACTGATGAACATTCTTGAAGTGTGTATTATCCATTTATGAACACAGGAAACCCACATGATGCTGATGATCGATCGCAGTCTTCTCATAGTTGCACGATAGAGTTTAGAACTTTCAACGGCTATAAATGTAAATATATATATCCTAATATTGTTTTTCTTTATTTGCTTGCAGTTGCAGAAAATCCACCGCCGGTGGGAGGTAAGATAGGTAATGGATCAACCTCCCTAACTTTCTCGTATCAATAATATGTGGTGGGGCCATATGCAAATAAGTTGGACTATCTATTCATGATCATTTAATTTCTCTTTGCTTATAATTGCAGAAAATTCACGGTCTGGCAAGATGAGACTTATAATAGGTAATGTATCAACCTCTTTTTCAATTAGAATATGAATCAAAGTTAATTTGTATTGTTTATAACTTTTGAAGAATTTTTAGTTATGATATTTTATATTCATATACTGATTATATATATATATATATATATATATATAAATATGAAGATAGGAATGAAAGAAGAATAAGGATAACGTAATAAAGAGAGGGGAACAAAATTCAATGCAAATCACACCCTTTGTGACTCATGTCCATTGTAATTTATTAACCTTTTTATGTTTTAATTGATGATTATTTTTTCTTATAATGCTCATATCCGAGTTTGATGCTATTTCACCTGCATGCTACTCATTTTACGTACATTCGGGCAGGAAGATTGAATATGTGTGTGTGTGCGTGTAGCAGAAAATGAGTAGTATAATCTGAATCAGCATTACATGTAGATTTAAATATAGCCAGGCAAATTGATTCAAAGATCACAATTTTTTCTCACTTATTTTAGAATACTTTGTTGTCAAGCATCCTGACCACATTTAATGGTCGAAATTGGTTAACATGTCATATTCTCTGCTCAGTTACTTACCCACTGTTATATGTGACAACAGGTTTAACAAGTGGAGCAATTGGGACAGTGCTAATATGTATGATTATTTTTTGTTGTATAATCAAATCACTGAGGCAGAAAATAGAGTTCTTGAAGACATCTAGGGCTGACCAAAATATCGAGGCCTTCATTAGAAACCACGGACCTCTAGCTCTCACAAGATATAAATATGCGGAGGTGAAAAAAATGACCAAATCTTTCCAAGTTAAACTGGGACAAGGTGGTTATGGCGCTGTATACAAAGGAGAACTACTCAATGGTTGCCCTGTTGCCATCAAGTTACTGAAGTCATCCAAAGGGAATGGGGAAGAATTTATCAATGAGGTTGCTAGCATTAGTAAAACTTCTCATGTAAATGTTGTTACCCTCCTAGGGTTCTGCTTGGAAGGTCGAAAAAAGGCTCTTATATATGAGTTTATGCCAAATGGATCTCTTGATAAATTCATTCGTAATACTGCAGATAGAACTAGTCCATCCTTAACTTGGGAGTATTTGTACGAAATTGCAATTGGGACAGCTCGAGGACTTGAATACTTGTACAAGGGATGCAACACTCGAATTCTACATTTTGATATAAAGCCACATAACATCCTTTTGGATGAAAGCTTTTGTCCCAAGATCTCAGATTTTGGGCTTGCAAAGTTGTGTCCAAGGAAAGAAAGCATAGTTTCAATTTCAGAAGCTCGAGGAACTATAGGATATCTTGCTCCAGAAGTTTGGAATAGAAATATAGGAAGAGTTTCGCATAAGTCTGACATTTTTAGTTATGGAATGCTGTTGTTAGATATGGTTGGTGAGAGAAAGAATTTGAATCCTGAAGACTGTACAACCGAGACTTATTTTCCAGATTGGATTTATGATAAACTTGAGAAAGGAAGCAAGTTGGGACAGGATGATGGGGCGAACCCCATGGAGGAAAATGACATTGCAAAGAAATTGACCATTGTGGGTTTATGGTGTATTCAAACATTTCCGACTCAAAGACCAACAATTAGTAGAGTTATTGAAATGTTAGAGGGAAGTTTAGACTCTCTGGAAATGCCACCGAAGCCAGTCATGCTCTCCCCTCCAAGATTAGAACTAGAATCTTCTGCAACTTGCAATACCAAGTCAGAACAAGTTGATTCTGCAGAAAGCTCTTCCCAAAGGTTGGAGACCCACTAGATGATAAGTCTGGAATATTTTAGTTGCAAAACGAACCGATATAACGAATCTGTAAGTCTATAATTATAAATATATGATTATTTAGGCATTATTTGTGATTAGTGGAAGGTGTGACGTCTGCAAGAGTCTGAAAGTTGTGAATGGTACATGGTACTTTCGGTCTTTAGAGAAAGCTAGTCTTCAAATTTTAAAGCATGATCTCTGGTTTCTTTAATTCACAAATCACTGCTTATCAAAACTAATTTTTGAGATGTCATACAGTTTACACTCATAATGTAACATTACAGTACAATCTCCTACAATGACTTCACTCAATTTCCCCTCTCGTTCTGCTTCATTCGAGTGTGACACCACCTCGCACCTATGCTACGTTATATGTTCATCCACGTGTACCATAATGTGATTCGAATATGCTATTCATTTATTGTCTTTATTAGTAGCAAAACCCAGTATCGCTGTGAGTTGGTTGTCGCCAAGGGAAATGTCAAGACAAAATTTCATCTTTATATTTGTAGTCTATGAATAAAAATATAGTTATCCGTTTAATTATCGTTTAGACTATATAAATAATGACTAAACATCTTGACAACATAAAATCCTGAATAAAAATCCAAGGCGTCTCTCACTTTTATCGCCCAAAGTGCGCCCACGACCACGAGGAATGCTGATCTGTGGCCAAAGCCGGCATGCAATCACAAACCTTTGACTTACCTAGGAATGTCATTTTTGCAACCGGGCAGTGATTCCGCGGGTAGTACTGCCATTACAGAGAAACCCAAAAAACAGAAAGAAGAAAACTACATTGAAGCATGCTGAAATTACAGAGCATTGGTAATATTAAATTGTGGCAATCTATTGCTCTGTTTTCTTGCGTGGCGCATAAAGTGGTGGCCATGGAAACCCAAACAGTGCTCGGCACTCTAATTCTCTGACACAATGCATACCCGCTGTGGCGTACTTCTTTCACACACTCTCAGCAACTTCTTGTTGTTCTTCTTCTTCTATCTCTGCACCTTGCCACAATACCAGAGTCAAAAAGATGATCACAGATACATAACATGCAGCTGCACCTTCAATTGTGGAAACTTGGACCTGCCCTACCCTTTCTGGGGAGGAAACCGACCCGGATACTGTGGCAGGGATGGTTTCCAGGTCACGTGCCTGTCTACGACATGGCTTTAATTCACATCGGCTCTCAAACTTTCACCTCAATGAATATCAATCCAGTCACTTGGAAAGTAAACATGGTGCGAACAGACATCCCAAGCTACGATAACTGTTCTTTCCATTTCACCAGCACTTCTTTGGACCCCGCTCTGTTCTCCTTCGACCCAACTGTTATGAACATGACCCTGTTCTATGATTGTGTCCCTGGCTTCTCCATTGGCCATAACAACATCACTTGCAGGGATGACAGCCAAAAGCAGGCTTTCTTTGTAAATCAAACTGAGTTAGAACAATTTCCGGAGCTTTCTCGAAACTGCACAATTCAAATTCAGGTGCCGATGACATGGGGTGTCACAGTGGACCCTTTGGGTGGAATTGAATCGCTGAGGGCTGCTTTGGATAAGGGGTTTGATGTGCAGTATAACGCAGACTGGCGTCACCGCTCAAAATGCATGGAATCTGGAGGAACTTGTGGGAGCACCGATGATGGGTCTCTGTTTGATTGCTATTGCCGAGAAGGATCTTATGACCATGAGTGCCCTGTTCTCGCAAGTATGGCTTCTGTCTCTGTTCCTTCGATTTGGCGCTTCAGATGCTCTGCATTATGCGTATCAGTGTTCTGTTCTTGTCATACTTTTTTTAATTCTTTACATCGTATCTCACATGTTAGAAAACTTCTATGCAGACTCGATTTACTGCCAAAAATGCGTGGAATCTGGAGGAATCTGTGGGGGCGTTGACCATGGGCCTGCATTTTCTTGTTATTGCCGAGACGGATCTTATGAGTTGGAGTGTACAAGTATGGCTTCTTCCTCACTTCCTTCTATTAGGCCCTTCAGTTGCTCTACATTATCCATATCAGTTTCCCTGTTCTTGTCTTACTACTCCTTCGGTCCTTAATATATGACCTAATTCTTGAGTTGATTTTAGTCCTAAATACAAGATCTATTTCTCATATTTATCAATTTTCTCTAAATTACCTTTATAGATACTCCTTCAACCATAATCAAGTAGAAGAGGGAGATGAGGTATTAAGAAAAATGATTATGGTGTTTTAGGAAAAATATGTCACTTTTTTTTTTAATTAACTAACTTATCTAACTTTCTTAATCTAATCAAATTAGTTAAATGGGTCTTATATAAAAGGCCGAAAGAGTATTTTATTCGTTCAATAGTATATCATATTGCAGAAAACTTATCAGTAGTTTGGTTTGTCTAGTAGGATGAAGATAAAACTCGTTGCCTTGCTTGTTTCCTATTTAGGTTAACGCTTTGAGCAACTCTCTGTGCGTGTGTGTATATATGTACCTATGTGTATAACTCTCGTTTCTCTTTGCTCATGGTTACAGAAAATTCCAGCAATTTGAAGACGGAACTTATAATAGGTAATATGGGTCGATTGATCTTCTATGTCCATATGTTTCTTTTATTTACTTTACATACTATTTCTACTACTTCTTGTATTTGCTATAAGACTAGCTGATTAATTTGAAAAAATTGATGAAGTTACAAAATTATTTTAAACTATTTATGTTTATTATTTTTTTAAACTAATTTGTCTCAGTTGTAAATTAATATATAATTAAATGATCTATAAAAGTATTTTAAAGAGATTATATAACATATGCTATAATTAAGTAATTTGATAACTTTCTTAATCTCTTAAAATTAGTCAAAAAAAATCTTTTATTAAAAACCAATTGTAGTACAGTATAATTCAATATTTCATATCAGATGATATTTCTTACCATTTTCACACCTCCTTGTTAATTATGACTATTTTAGCTGGGTGGTTTTAATGAGCTTCTCATTTATTTCAGAAGACTAGTGTTGAATCTGTCATGTTTTCTATTTAGAGATTTATCTACTATGTGTCATAGGTTTTACAAGTGGAGCAACTGGAACACTTTTAATCTGTATTGCTATTTTCTGTTGCAAAATGAAATCATTGAGACAGAAGATAAGATTCTGGGAGACATCTATAGTTGACCAGCAAATTGAGGTTTTATTAAAAACCAAGAACCTTTGGCTCTCACAAGATATAGATTTGAAGATATAAAGAAATTCACCAAATCTTTTCGAGTTAGACTGGGAGAAGGTGGTTATGGCACTGTATACAAAGGTAAGCTACTCAATGGCAATCTTGTTGCTGTAAAGATTCTAAATCCCTTCAAAGGAAATGGGGAAGAATTTATTAATGAAGTTGCCAGTATCAGTAGAACTTCTCATGCTAACGTTGTTACCCTTCTTGGATTTTGTTTGGAAGGTAAGAAGAAGGCTCTTATATATGAATATATGTGCAATGGATCTCATGACAAACTAATTGACAACAAGGCAAATGAAATGAACTTGTTCTTGACTTGGAAAAAATTGTTTCAAATTGTAATTGGGACAGCTTGAGGACTTGAATACTTGCATATAGGATGCAACACTCGAATTCTACATTTTGATATAAAGCCACATAATATCCTTTTGGATGAAAGCTTTTGCTCTAAGATCACAGATTTTGGACTTGCTAAACTTTGTCCTAGGAAAAAAAGCATTATTTTGCTTTCAGAAGCTAGAGGGACTCTTGGATATCTTGCATCAGAAGTCTGGAATAGAAATATAGGTGGGGTTTCATATAAATCTGATGTTTATATTATGGAGCGATGTTATTAGACATAGTTGGAGTGTACTATGGAATCCTATTTCCTAACTGAGAATTATGTTCTTGACTCTATTTATGATAAACTGGAGCAAGGCAAAGATTTGGGACAAACTGGGGCAAACACCACTGAGGAAAACGATATTGTTAGAAAAATAACCATAGTAGGTTTGTGGTGCATCCAAACATTTCCAACACAAAGACCTACAATAAGTAGAGTGATTGAGATGTTAGAAGGAAGACTAAACTCATTGCAAATGCCACCAAAACTAGTTATGCCTTCCATTCAACAGGAGAAGTAGATTGGAAGAACGAGAAGTAAAGGCCTTATAAGAAAATTAGTACAAAATGAAGACTTATATAAAAGTTTGAGTAAATTAGTACAAAATGAAGACTTATATAAAAGTTTGAGTAATAAAATTTGAAGTTCAAGCATTATACATGTTCTCATTTTATATTAATTTTGTTAGATGGTATTTAATTATCATTCTCTTCAGATTTCCACAAGATCCGAGCTCTTATTAGAGTAATGTTGTGTCTATATTATCAAATCTTATATTTTAGACCTCAGAAATTCTTTCCTAGATTAGACTGTGATTCCTAAAGTTACTTGCTTAGCATCCCTTTTTCTTTCCTTCCAATATCAATAAAGTGAACCTTTAGCCAAGTTTTAAGTGACATATTTTAACTGCTTTTAGCATCATGTCATTAGAAGGTGGCATCAAACATATCTTAGCTTGGGCATCAACATATGAATATCATCTTGTCAAAATTTATTGATGAAAACAATATGGTAGCAGAATATTTATAACCAGTGAACTTCTTAAACAGTAAATCTATAGCATTCAATGAGATATATATGGAGAGATGTAATTTAAGAGTGCCTAATATCCTTTTAGCCAGATGAAAAGTATCAAAAGAAAAATATCAGACTCTGAGTTTCCCAAAGCCAAATGCGATATATGAACAATTAGACAGCTCTAGAAGTGTGTGAACTAGTAGTACTCCTAAGGAAACTTCCCATAAGTCTGATGCGCAGCTATATACATAGACATGGAATAATGTTACGGCGCTGGAAATTAAATGGCTCCAGAGCAAAAGAACTCCAATTTTGAAGCTGGCAGTGTGTTGACGACTGAGATAAACGCAACTTTTAGACAGGTCAATCTTTTATACTAGCCCCGAT